TTCTGTGTGTGTGTGTGTGTATGTGTGTGTGTGTATGTATGTATGAATGTATGTACACACACACATACATGTATATACACATACATACATATACATACATCTATATTTATATACATATACATATAGGTGTGTAGGCCAATTAGTGTATTGGCGGTTTCCCTTCTTCGAGACTGCACGTTCGAGTCACTTGGCTTCCAAATCTTTTTTGTCGGTGGATGGGCCAGAGGGTTGGGCCCTGGACTCATGTAGCAGAGCAGATAGGAGTGCTCGGGCCAACAGGCTGGAGGTCGGGTTGATGAAGCGAGTCAGGCCTGCAGTTTGAACTACACAATTGCAAGGCACACCTACGCCATGCGGATCGTAGGATCTGGGCGCGTATGTGGGGGTTTCTCTTGGATTGTAATCCATGGTGCAAAATCACAATGATAGCGTGGAGCTGTCCAATTGCACGGAATTAGGTGGTTCTGACGCGTTACTGCGAGTACACTCAACTTCAAGGCATTTTTGGACAATTTTAGGGTTTTTTTATTTATCATTTTTAGCCTATAAAAAATTTAGAGTTTACCAATTAAGCATTCCATTGGTGTTCCCCAGGTCTTCTAGTCGTGTGTTTTTTAAAATGGACTTCGCCATTGTGAAGAAAATAATTGGTGTCTCCCAATTGTGCATTGTAAATGAAATTATCCATGTTAAAAAAATGAGTCTTCCCGCTGCACATTTCGTATGGGATTCTTCATAGAGAAAAGTTTGAGTCTCCTCGTCATACATTCATGAGGGGATTTTTCATGGAGATAAAGTGGAGTATCCTGCTGTGCATTTCAGTGGGGATTCTTCATTTATGCCGTTGTGTTTTCTGGAACAAACTTTTAGCATTGTTTTGATGCTTTCTTGAAAAAATATTTGTGTTGCCACATGTTTTTTGGAGAAAATTTCACATGCTACTGAGAAGCCTCGATCAGAGTGCAGAGAATATAAAGGCTTTTCAAGTGAGAATGATGGCTTTTTGAAGAAGATAACACAAAAGTACAAACCTTTCAACAATGAGGAGAATGTTATACTACGTTCTTTTCTTCTGCTAACTTATTGCAACTTTTGTATCAGCATGTGTTGGTCATTGTAGATTTACAATCACTTGTTAGACGTGTACATGATAATAGTGTGTTTATCACACATCTTTCACTTATTTGATATAATAAAAATTTCAATGTTGATTATGACGTTGCTTTTGTCTTTTATTCTGAGCTGTGGTTGCCCCTCTTTTGAGATCTTTTGCCAGACTTTTGGGTTAATGTTCGTCGATCTACACGATAATGTTGCCCAACTTCTAGGGTGCTATTGTTAGTAGGAGTATAAAGACACCAAACTCTTCCAAAGCTTATTTTGTTGCATTTTTAATTTTTAAAATTTCTGACGATTAGTTTTTGCTCAAAACCTTCTACAGCTCTAGGGTTCATTAGGTAAGCCAGGGAAGCAACACGAGGAAACCCCTTCAATAAACCTCAAAAACTAAAAAGCTTGTGCCTGTCGCGGTAGGGCTTAAGGCCGCAGAACTCATCGTCTTGCTATTTTGAGAGGACGACCTGAAATTTTCTATTCGACAGCATTCGGGCATTAGTTATGCCTCGGCCGGAGCGGCAAACGGATTACAGCCGCTTCTCTCCGGCGATCCCCATCATCATCGACAATGGCGGCTTCAATTTCCGCATTGGGTGACGCCAACAAACCCTAAATCTATTAACACATTTATACATTCAAAGGTGTCGCCTTTCGTATAACAGCCTTTCTGTAAACTCTCAGATGGGCAGGAGAATCAGATCCCCGTATCACCTTCCGCAATCTCATTTATCGGCCTCGCCACAAGGCAACCGGTATGTCATGCTGTCCCATGACTGTAAATTTTTACTGGCGGAATTAGGGAAAATATCTTACGTACGCAGAGCTGGTACGTCGGGAGGTGGGTATAGGGAGCTATATTGGTGTTATACCCTCTAACCTCCCTGTAACCTACAAATAAGTTTCACGCTTTTGTAGTTCTGATAGGTACAAGTAAGTTACAGGGAAGTTGCAGGGATTATAACACGGATGTAACTCTCCTGTACCCTCTAAATAACCTCCGACGTACGCAGCGCTGCGTACGTCTTACGTACATTAAATATTTTCTCAGAATTAGCTGTTGTTCATGATTTCATTAAAGTTCATTAGATTTACACCGAATTCTTCACAAGGGATTGATGCTTCTCTTAGAGGCTATTTGGCTTCCTATAAGATTTCGGGGGTGTTTGGCTGCAAGCGGGATTTAGTATTAGTAGGATTTAATAAATTATGTAGCTACTTAATTGTCATCCAAATAATATTTATTGAGCAAATTAATATTAGTGATATCTGGTTATTTATTTTTGTAACTAAATAAGATTTATCAAATAAAATAATGAGTAGTATGGTCGAACTATTTATTTTCTATTCAAACGAGCTTTATCAATCTTATAAATGAGTTTCTTATTGAACTTATAAAAGTAAATGGGCTTTTAAATGAATGAGCTTTTAATAAATGAGCTAAAACAAACAAATAAATGTATAAAATAAATGAACAAATAAACAAATAAGTCTTTATCTTGTTTTATGTACTATAAATTAAAATTTAATTTAATAAAAATAAATTTTAAATTAAGCTTTAATTGACTTTATTCACAACCTTTATATGAGCTTAAACTAATTTTATTCATAAATATAAATTGATCTTATTTATGAATTTTAAACGAAACTGGTTATTGAGTTTTTTACTGAGCTTAGTCGCGAGCTTTTAATAATATTGTTCACTAACATAAATGAATCGAACTAGGAGGTGTTCAAGCTTGTTCATTTAATAATCGAGCATTTTTAAAGTGTTCAAACTCGTTCAATTAGTTAATTAAACAAACATGAATAAGTTCTTATTGAGCCGAGTTATGAGTAGCCTATCAAACGGTCGGTTCATTTGCAACCCTCTTAAACTTTAATGTTGAAATGAATAGAGCTTATAAAGTTTGCCTTGTTTCTCTTTTAAAAAAATGTTCTTATCAAAGCTAGAACCCACAAATTATTGTTGACAAATCCTATTGTCCTTTTTGCTTTGCTCAGGGTGTTCATGCGTTGAGACAAGACATCAACTTTTGCTATAATTAAATTTATATAATGTGTTGCATATGGTGTCCAATACATATATTTTCTCTTCTTTATCATTTTCTTGCAGTCCCATAGGCATTATTTGTAACAACTTAATACTAGTTACTCTCCAATCTCCTCTATAAATCCATCAAGAATATGCTTCTAATGTTTGACCTTATATGATGTTTCAACATATTTTAAGAAAATAATTTTGTGAGTATTAATAATCAAAATATTAATCAAATTTTTATTCCTAATCTCTAGTTGGTTGTCAGACATGATTTTCACTCTAGTTTGATTTTCAATTCTCTACTCAATGAATTTCTCAATATTGAACTCCTTTAGTACCCAAGCTTTTAAATTATACATAGATGGTGATTTTAGGTCTAGACTATAGGAGCTTATATTTCTAATATTGTTGAGATAAGGATAGAATATTTCTATATTAAATGAAATGACATTATTATAAAATAATCTTTCAATATCTATACAAATAGGCGTAAGCGCCCCTTTAGCACTTTTTGTGGGCTACCTTCACACCATCATATCTACTATCCTTCACATTTTTTATGTATTGATTAATAGGTTATCTTGTACCTTTATATGATATTTGTGGCAAAAAATGCAAGGAATATTTGTCACCAGGCTTACTTTTATAATAAAATCAATATTGATTCTATCATCAAACTATTAGCATGTTAAATGCTTTGACATTGTTGCATTGTTCATATATACATGAATCTCCTTTCCCACCGCCTCATGTATCTTACCACATGGTGCAATATTTTTGTGAGATCCAGAAAAGGGCAATTTCATCCTTATAACACACTTTTTAATATTATTTTCGCAATATTTGCACTTTAGATAAGTATGTGGTTTGTTATTTCTCCAATTTAAATAGCACAATATGCTTTCATGTTAGATTTTTATTCTAGTAGTGATTTTTTCTATACCTTTAATCATATCTTGCATAGCTTTAGAATTTTCAAATAAATAAGAAATTTTGATTAAAAAAATTGTAACATGCTAATATTTAAATAAAGAAAAAACCCTAAATAAATAAGTAATGAAATTAAATCAAGGAAAGAAGAAGTTTTAAGGTTTAGGTATTGTCATCAAAAGAAAAAAGAGAGGTGGAGAGAGAGTTCCTTTTGGACAAAATGAACTTGGTAAGGAGGAGGCAACGGTGGTGTGCTTGAGGATTAGAGAAGGGAATGAATGCTAGAGGTTCTTGGCTTGAGTTTGGGTGTATCGTGAGCGAGAGGCTTGAGGATTATTTAATAAAGAGTTTATTAATTTAATTTATTATTATTCCTTAAGAAAATCTTGTTTGAATTGTGCATGCCTCACAATAATTAAGGTGAGACGCTTACGTTGCAGTTTGATGTGCGTCTCACATAATGAGCCATGAGTTATTCAAAAAAGCATTGATGCATGCCTGGTGGCACATCTTGTATTGCACAATTTTAAATAATAGTGCAATTAGAAATTGCATGATTGAGAATACCTATCATTTCACGGGATCTTTTTAAATTTTGGCTATAGCTATCTTTGTGATTTTTTTGGTAGTGATAAAGATAGTATTGTTGTACCGAACTCATAAGTGGTAGATGAAGGTTCTACTTGTTCAAAATCTTTTCTACTAAGCATCCTAATAAATTTTCAAGGGTTGTATTAGCATTTCAGCTTGGCCATCAGTATAAGGGTGTAACACAAATGAGTCTAAGGGTGGAAGTTCTATAAAAATTTTAATTTTGTACCAAGAATATTTCATAATGTTCTAAAAAAATTAGAAACAAACCTCACATCTCTATCTGATATTATTGTTAAGAGCAGGTCATGCAATTTCACAATCTTTTTAAAGAAAAGCTTTATTACATGAGATTCATTTATGCATTTGAACAAAGATACGAGTGTGCAAAAATGAAGAACTATTAGCTTCTACAAAAATGTTATAATGCTCTCATGTTTTTGGTAATCCTGAGATGAAATCGATTGGCAATATTCCCGAGGTTTTTTAAGAACGGATAATGCAGTGTATTTCCTTTATCCCTACCTAGTGGCATAGGATTTCTTTCATGTATAGCTATGAGTCACTAACCTCTAAACATGCCCTTTTAGTGATTGAAAATAAAAATCTACATATCATTTTATTTATCATCTTAGCTTTTTCAAAATAGCCTATCATACCACTAGAATGAAGCTTCTATTGTGAGAAATTTTCTAATAGATAAATAATAATAATAATTTTTTTCTATACTGGCAACCATCAATCATTGATAAAGAGTTTTTTTTATGTTAAGGTCTCATCTAGATGTCCCAGATAAATGGCATGAAAGTTTGGACATACATGGAACTCTTCTAGATGCCACTCTAGGTGTCTCATCTATGTATTGGAAATTCTAAGAAAAATAATAACACTAATCCCACTCTAGGTGAGACATCTACAGGTTTAGTATATTTTTTAGTTTATTTCCTATAACAAATGAAAAATCCTACAATAATTTTATCCACTTAGCTTGTCTATGATTAAATGTAAATTGGTTGTTTATAAATTTTGGAATATGATAATTAGCATGTAGAATAAATTTATTATGCAGTAGATAAAACCTCTAATATTTTAAAGATTGGTGGGGCATAAAATTTTCTATCATAGGTAGAATATAATTGGTTTGCAGTATTCAACTATTCTTATAAAAGACCATTTTTTTGTCTTAGAATACCCCTATATGAATTGAAGATCATTATAAAAGACTTCCAATGTTTGTAAAAAAATCAAGGATTCTAAGCACAAATGAATGACATAGGGTGTTTTGTTGGGCCCATTGTGCACTGGGATTTTGTCCTAGTTTTAGCATATTGAGTTATTGGAAAAGCTTAGTGATTTATTGATGGTTGGAAAGGCTACGGAAGGTTAGGGGAATTTGCGGAGATTATGTTTAGAACAGATGGGTGAAGATTCATTATATTTAGGATTGTTGGAGGTAGGGCTGTAAACGAGCCGAGCTTGAGCAAGCCCAGGCCCGGCTCGTGTTCGCCTCGCTCGAATCTGGCTCGTGTTCGAAATCGGCTCGTGTTCGAAATGACTCGTGAACAGTGTGTTCGTGTTCGGCTCGAATTACATTTTCATGTTCGTGTTCGGCTCGAAAATGACTCGTTAGAATATAAAATTATTTAATAAATATTATTTTTTTTTAAAAAATAATAATTTTGTATAAAAAAATTTGAAGGACAAATTTCATACAAAAATTCATAAATTTATTAACTTATAAAATAATGAATTCAAAAAATTTCACAAAACTAATTACATCAGTTTTTTACAAGAATATTACCATTATTTGACAAAAGCTTAAAAAATAAGAATCAATTTATTACAAATTTTAAAATGTATAAACTAAACAAGACTAAAAAAAATACAAATAAAATCATAAAATAAAAATGTAAATCTAAAAATAATTGTATTGAACATATAAGTCTTCTTATGCTTTACATACAAGTTGTATGATACAACTCAAAATCTCAAATAACTAAAACTAATTTCTGCGCATTATAACTTCATGAAAATGTTGGTCCGACACGAGCTCTTGAACTGATGCTGCTGAAGCATCTCAAATACTTCTCCAACTTCGATGACGATTGACGAGCTCTTGAGGAACCTGGTGGCCATCCTTACCAAAATGCGCATAGCTGCATGAAACATCTTAATACTTAAAAAAAATAAACA